TACCATGACCACCAAAAGCCCCATTTACGCCCGCACAATTTGCCTTCCGACCCGGGTGATTGTGCGAACACATCCAGCGAATTATCGTCGACGCCGCTGCGGCCAGCAGTGCCGCAGGAAACTCATCTTGGTGCGACAGACGCGGTGCAACCCCGGCCAGTGCGCAAGTAAACCAACAACCCGACAGAGGACCAGCACGACTACGCAACCTACTCACTGAGCGGCAGCAGACGCCAAACGACGACCACCACGCCCGCAAGCAGGTGAGTAAACGTACACAGCAAGAGATCCGTGCACAGAAGAGGACGAGACGACGGGCCCATTTTGCAAACGTACTTGAGCAGTTCAGAGATTTAAAGAACACCCAGCGTATCAAAACACGAAGACAACTAACTCTCATCACCCACATGACGGACAAAGAGGGCAACAAATGCACGACGCGACAAGAAATCACGAGCGTATTCGCGGAGTTCTAGGAGCAATTGTACACCTCGACAGCAGAGGCGGCGCAGTCGGAACCACCAAGCGACGACCGCACCGACCGTCGACCAGCAGACCAACCAGCAGACCGACCAGCAGACCCGCATCCTAACAGACCGAACGCCGCACCAGCCGACCAACCAGTAGCCCAGCGCCCGAACAACCGACCGCCGAGTAACAGACCAGCAGACCGACCGCCACCGATCGACAAGCAGACCCGCCGACTCCCACAACGACCACACGACGACCCCACCGACCACCGACCGGCTGACCGACCAGCAGACCGACCAGCAGACCGGCAAACCAACAGGCCGAACGCCGCGCCGGCCGAGCAACCAGCAGACCGACCACCGACCGCCGACTAGCAGACCAGCAAACCGACTACCACCGACCGACCAGCAGACCCACCGACTCCCACAACGACCAAACGACGACCCCACCGTCCACCGACCAGTTGATCGGCCAGCAGACCGACCAGCAGACCGGCAAGCCAACAGACCGAACGCCGCACCGCCTGACCAACCAGCAGACCAGCAGACCGACCACCGATCGCCGACTAGCAGACCAGCAGACCGATTACCACCGACCGACCAGCAGACCCACCGACCCCCAAAACGACCGAACGACGACCCCGCCGACCACTGGCCAGCACATCGGCCAGCAGACCGACCAGCAGACCAGCAAACCAACAGGCCGAACGCCGTGCCGGCCGAGGAACCAGTAGATCAGCAGACCGACCGCCGACTAGCAGACCAGCAAACCGACTACCTCCGACAGACCAGCAGACCCACCGACTCGCACAACGACCAAACGACGACCCCACCGACCACCGACCAGCAGAGCAAACCGCACGCCAGACCGACCGACCGACCAGCAGACCAGCAGACCGACCCCCGACCGTTGGCCAACAGACCGGCAGACCTACGACCGACCAGCGACCAGCAGACCCACCGATTCCCACCCTTCACACCGAAAGGGCTCAACCAGGCGATCAAAGGTCTCCGGCTTGATAAAGCCCCAGACACGAAAGGCCCCCGCGCAGAGATGCTTAAAGAAGGCGCAGAGGATTTCAGAGGTGCACTTCTCCACCTCTACAACGCGATCCCGCAGCGCGAAGCCCCGCCGCCGGCCAACTGGAAGAGCACAGTCATTAATCATACCAAAAAGTGGAGATCTCGCGCTTCCACAAAACTACCGCCCCATTTGCACGATACCATTGTTGTGCAAGCTCCTCGGCCGACTACTGTGCAACAGGTTACAGCCGGCGCTTGACTCGTACCAGAGTGCCGACCAGGCGGGCTTCAGACCAAGCCACTCGACCAGTGACCACATCCTTACCTTCCATTTATTGCGCGAGCGAGCAAACGAATGGGGCCAAAACCTATGGGTCGCAGCACTTGACTTCAAACAAGCTTTCGATTCAGTTGGACACAAGAGCATATGGGCAGCACTGAAGGCACAAGGGGTCCAACCTGGATGCGTTGCACGACTCCAAGAGCTCTATGAGGGACAGACTGCCACGGTGAGGACAGACGTCAGCAGCGGACTCTGTAGCCTCCTGCGGGGCACGAAGCACGGATGCCCACACAGCTCCCTACTCTTCAACGCTCTTCTACAATACATCCTTGGACCGCTGGTCTCCGAATGGCAGCAAAAAGGAAGGGAGTTGAATTGGGATTCGCGAGCACCGCCGCGCTGACCAACCTACGCTTCGCCGACGACGTGCTCCTGACCAGCCAATCTCCCGCGCCTGACAGCGATGCTTGACGACATTGCGCGCGCGACAAGGCTACGCGGGCTCGAACTACACGCAAGCAAAACCAAAATACTGAGCAACCGGACCAGAAGGACCAGAACGGCGATCTCACGCACAGCACGTTTCCAAGACATGGATATAGAAATCGTTCCATACGAAGCCAGTATCAAATACTTGCACGAACCGATGGAAACGGAAATTCACTACTGCACGCGAGCTGCATGGGCATCACTCACGCCTCGCAAGCAGGAGCTGACCAGCAACCACTACCCACTGGCTCGCCGACTCCGACTTTTTCATAGCCTTTTAGCACCAACAGCGTTATACGGAGCAGAGACGTGGACCCTCACGGAGCCTCTACGGCAGAATCTACGACGGACACAACGGCGCATGCTTCGCAGAATCATCAGAACGCCACGGAGACGCACAACGAAAGAAGCCGGCCCTCACAGCGGCCAGGGACCTAATCTCGACGGCGCGAACAACGAAGCACAACACCACGAAAACCGCACCAACAGCACTGCCGACGACGCAGACAGCAACCCATCACACTGTGATGCGCCTGACACGCCTGCCAAGCACAGCGAAGACGGCGAATACATCACCCCCGCAGACGAAATTGACAACTGGGAGACGCTGCAGAAACGGAAAGTATGGCGCATGGCTTCGCGAGTCGCAAACCACGACCGGACGAGGTGGACATGGCGAGTGCTGCGCCGGCACCCAGTCCTCAACCCGCGCCAGCGGGGACAGGCAGCACGGTGGCCAAATCAAGCGTTGCGACGACGAAGTCACCACTTACCTACTTCAACGCAGACCAGACCTCCACCGACCGCCCACGCAAGCCCAGTCGAAAGGACAACCGAACGACATCACATGGACGCAAACAGCCCAAGACACCGAAGCATGGACAGCGCTCGAGCACCACTTCACCGACCGAACGTCGACCAGCACCCGAGATTCAGACCAACGACGTGAAATCTCAGCGAACGTCGGGACGTCTCGCCCAACCCGCGCCGACACCGACGCCAAGGACTTGATTTTCTTTCTCCTCCCCCTCTCCTCCTAACTTTTCATATTTCTTGCATTGCATGTATCTAAACACTTCAGATCCTAGAGGCCATGGCCTCACCCACCTGGTCTGCTCTAGGCCCGGACGCTGTCCGCAACGGTGGTCGCATCTCATCGCCAGAACGAGGATGGCACTGGACCGCCATGTCACGATCGAATTTCGGATGGGGTCATTGACGCTAATTGGTTCAGGTCACGCAGCTTTCCGTTACTGACCCACGCGCGTGAAAGCACGCATCGCCTACACCATCGCAGCCGCCCGCCGTCAACATCAGCATCATCATCATCAGCATCATCATAGTACGAGCTAGGCGCGCCTGTCCCTTTTTCAGCCGCGGGGGTCATCATCAGCATCAACATCATCAGCATCATCATTATCATGCTCATTTATATTTGTCATCATCTTCCCAATATTGATTGTCATCATCATCCTCACCACCATCATACTCATCATCACCACCACCACAATGCGCACCATCATCATCACCATCATCACCATTATCGGTATAACCATCATTGTCACAACCATCAGCACCATCATCATCATCATCATCATCATCACCGCAGTCACTATCATCATCATCATCATCAGCATCATCATCATCCTATCCGTTTTCATCATCATCCTCATCACCACCATCAGCATTGTCAGCAGCACTGTCATCATCAATCACCACCGTCATCATCATCATCATCATCATCATCATCATCATCATCATCATCATCATCATCATTCCCATCCCCATCACCACCATGATCACCTTCATCATCGGCAGCGTCGCCATCATCACCATCATCATCACCATCATCATCCCCATCATCAGCATCATCAGCATCATCATCAGCATCATCACCCTCATCGTTTTCCCCATCATTTCCCCTTATCACCATCATCATCATCATCATCATCATCGTCATCACAGTCATCGTTATCGTCGTCGTCGTCACCATCATCACCAGTACCACCATCGTCATGATCGTCACCACCGTCGTCGGCGTCTCCCCTCCCGTGGGCCTTTCGTCCGTCTTTGTAGTATGAGTCCCATTGGTCCCACGAAGCCTTTCACGTCATTATGTGTGGAAGTTCGGTACTGTAATTTTTGCCACAGCGGGCTCTCCTGGAGGGTCTCTCGGAACCCTGTTGGGCCGTCTTGGAGGCTGTTGACTTACAGCCGTCTTGGGGGCCACATGAGCCTTCTTCGGCCATCGGGGGCGGTCTTCGTGTCATCCTGGCTGTCTTGGAACCCGTCTCGGAGGCCATCCTGGCCGCCAGATAGCAAGTCCAGGGGGGCGGCTGTCAAGCGGGGCGTGCGTCGAGGGGGGGCGGGGGCGGCCCACGAAAATTCGAGAAACCATTACCAGGTATCGAAAGATCATTTTGACACGCCCACTACGCGCAGGCACCGTGGTGGATCCCTTTCTCGTTTTTCTCGGTTGGTTTGTTTCTTTCTCTCTCCTCCGCGGCCGCCCTGTCCGTCTTTTCCCTGCTCCTGCGCGCTGGCCAATTCGCTTCTCGCTGCCCGCGTTCAGCTTTATCGCTGGTGCAGCCATTCTGCTTCGCCGCCGACGAAACAGCTTCTCTCTCTCTCTTTCTCTCTCTCTCTCTCTTTTTTTTGTTTCTCTCTCTCTCTCTCTCTCTCTCTTCATCAGCTTTCCTCTCGACGGCGGCGGCGGCGGCGCCCGGGTCTCCGAGGCGTCGTCTCCAAGTTCTCCCTCATGTCTGGCCCGGACGGGCGCTCTCGAGGCGCGCCGTGGCTGGCACGCGCCAGCCGGGGAGGGGGGAGGGGATGGGACTGCGATCATCTAGGCCTCCTAGATGGGGTCGGAGTAGATGGGGTCGGAGGATCGCGCCGTATCGCCGATGCATCGCCGATGCGGCTCGATGTGCAGCCCGATTTGCTTCGCGTCGACGTGGCCGATGCATCGCCGATGTATCTGCGATGCGGCGCGATCCTCCGACCCCCCATCTACGCCAACCCCATCTAGGAGGCCTCTAGATCAGGGGCAGCTCTAGAAGGGGATAGGCTCAAGGGGGGGGGTCCTTAGGGGCGATGCTCTGGGGGACAGGCGTCGAGGTTCGTGGTTTTCTGTCGTTTTGGTCGGTTCCCGGCGTTCTTTTTGCCTCGGGATGCTATCCAGCGGCTGCGCCTCACCGACAGCGTTCCAGGGGTGCCCCAAACGTCCCGAACGGCCGTTGGGGAGCAGAGGCTCGCAATCCAGGGGGCAACGTCAGGGAGGGATAGACTCAAGGAAAGGGCGCATCGGACCGTGGTCACCCATTCATCGCCGACGAAGACCCGAGAGTCCCAACCCGCCCAGGAGCGCGCGATTTTCCTACCGGAGGCGCATCGCCGATCTAGTGGCGACGTTTCACCGATTCCAGATCGATGTTTCCCCCCCGAGACGGCCCCCCCTAACTTTGCCTCTCATGCGAGGTAGAGGGAGGGAGGCAGAGAGATGGGAGAGCAAGCCAGGTGCGCTCGCGCCAAATCTGACACCCTACTCCTTCTCCCATTCCTGTCCATTCGTCGAGCCCCTGTCTGTTCGCAAGGTCGGATGTCGGGTAAGACATTGATCCCGAGAGGGTAACTTAGTCGAAGAGGATCTGGACCCCTGGGGCATAAGGGAGGCGGATGGGGGAGGACATGTGGCACACGCTGCAGCGGGGTACGACTGTCGCTGATGATCCAGGAGTAAGGCCACCGCGGCCACGAAAGCGTCGTACCCTTGGACAGGAGATCGATGGGCGACCAGGTCCTCAGGCCCAGAGGCCGCCACTCTTCCAGCACTTTTTCAGCTCCTTGTGTACATCCTTTTGTCTCGGGGTCTTGGGAGGCCAGGGCCTCGTTTGGGGAGCCTCCCCGCAGCTCTCGGCTGCACGCAAGAGTGACCCTTCGCCGGAGTGACCTTTGCGGCGGGCCCAAAGGGTTCCCCCCAGCATTGGCCTGCGCGCTAGGATTTGAGACCCCCGCGGCCCCCAGAAGCCGCGCACCAAAGGTCCCTCCTGCCCAGGGTCGCACCTGTGCGTGGGGGAAGCTTCAGGCCCAGGTGATCTTCAGGATGTCCGCTAGATCTCATGATGGGCTCAGCTCCTCTCCTCGCAGGTCCCTCGAGCTATTCCTCGTCGCTGAGGGGGATCACAACCTCGACGGACGGGCGTCCCATGAGCGTGCCAGGATCCCCGTCGTGAACAGGAGCCCGCCCGCACCGGTGTTGCAACCAGTATCATATCAGAGTGTAGGGGGCACAGTGCGCAAGTTTGGTTCAAGCAGGGTCCATTTCGATCCGATCGATCCGACCCGATGTCGGTTTGGGCCGGCCCGATCCGATTCGATCGATTCCGAGACTCCTTCGATCCGATGTGGTGCGTCGTTTACATGGCGCTGTTGTGCGTCCTGGCGCGGCCCATCCGATTTAGATTCCGTACCGTTGCTGTCCAATCCATTTTACATTCCGATTCGATCCGATTTGATGCTGGTTGATCCGGGCATCAGTGCGATAACAAATTATCCATCCACTGTCGCCCCTGGAAGCGATGAGTGTGGTTATCGCAATAGCGTCGGGCACATCCACGTCAAAAACTTCAACAGTTTCACGGACGGAGGGCGGGCCCTCTTCAGAATGTGGTTCTCGCCGCAGTGTCGCGCACATTCGTTTTAAAAGTTTGTAAAGGGTTCACGGATGGAGGGCAGGTCGTTTTCAGAGTGTGGATCTCGCATTTGCGCCGCGCACATTACTCCTAACAGTTTGCAGGGACTTCACGGAAGGAGGGCGGGTCCATTTCAGAATGCGGGTTTTGTTTCAGCGCCGCCACATCCGTCTTCAACGTTTGCCGCAATCTCACGGATGGAGGGCGTTTTTTTTGTTGTTTGTCAAAATGATGCGATTTTTTTGGCATCGCGCACATTCGTCCTAAAATGGCGCGACAGTTGCACGGATGGAGGACGTGTTGGTATTTCGAAAAATGTGGTTATCGAATTAGCGTCGCGCGCATTCATGCTGAAAACTTGCAGCAGCTTCTTGGACGGAGAATGACCATTTGTTTCCAGAATGTGGTTCTCACCGTCGCATATTGCGCATTCGCATTAGAAACTTTACAAGAGCTTCGCGGATGGATGGCAGGTCGTTTTCATAATGTTGTTCTCGCATTTGCGCCGCGCACATTCGTTCTAAAAGCTGGCGGGAATTTCACGGAAGGAGTGTGGATCCTTTTGGGAATGCGGTTCTCGCAATAACGCCGTCACGTTCGATTTCAACGCTTGCCGGAATCCAACAGATGGGGGGCGGGCCGTTTTTCAAATTGTGGGTATCGCTTCAGCATCGCGCACTTTCATTTTAAAAGTGGGCGACAATTTCGCGGATGGAAGACGGACTCTTTGTTGACAAAATGTGGTTATCGACAGCGTCGCGTGCATTCAGTCTACAAGCTTGTAACAGCTTCGTGGACGGAGGGCGGGCCGTTTTTGTTAGAATGGTTATTGCCGTCGCGTCGTGCACATTCGTCTTGAAATTTTAGAGGAGCTTCGCAGAAGGCGGGCGGGTCCGGTTCAGATTGCGGGCGTTCAACGTTTGCAGCAGCTTATCGGATGGATGGCGGGTCCTTTTCACAATGGGACCATCGCTTCACCGTCGCGCATGATCGCTTAAAAGTGAGCGACAGCCTCGCGGATGGAGGGCGGCTCCTTCTCGTGACTTTGAGGGCCCCGGCGCGAAACAATGCGCTCCGGCCCCGCGCCTGCCCTTCAATGCTGGCGCGCGCGATCGCGCGCGCTAGGCGAACGCCGGCGTTCAAACGCAGCCTGTTTTATCTTCGAGAGCTGGACAGAGGAAACACATCGCTTCACTTGTTCTTTGCGGGCACCAAACGCTATATCATGCATAGCGACGCCATGCGAGTTCTTTATTGCTCGCGCGCGCTTCCGCAGGGCCGATGCAATATCCGATAGCGAATTGACATCTCCACCTCGCGCTGGGCAATGAAGCCCATTGACTCGCGCGTGCTCTGACGGCCCCGGCGAGGGCGCATGCGTCGCGGCGCAACGCGAGCTCTTCGTTCCCCCCCGCGCGCGCTCGCTCGCGCGCGCGCGGCGCGAGAGTTCGCGGCGCGCGCTCAATCTCGAAGATTGAGCAGGGAACAAAAAATTGTTTCACTCGTAGTTTGCGGGCCTCAACGACGTCAATCCCGCATTGTGGCGTCGAGCGCGTTCCTCGCTGCTCTCGCGGTCGCTTCCGCGCGCGCGCCCCCTCGCGCGCGTTGCAAACGGGCTCGAACGTTTCTTTATTTTTTTTCGAGAAATGAACTCGGGGCCAGCCGGCCAGTTGTTTCGCGCGCGGCCTAGTGGCCTCAGCGTGGAACAGCGCGCTGCAACGCGGCGCGCGTCCCTCGCTGCCCGCGCACGCGCGCGCACTCGCGCGCGCAGCGCAGATGCGCAGGCAGCGCGCGCGCTCACTTGCGAAGACGGATGACAACCATGTGTTTCATTCGTATTATGAGGGTCTCGACGTGGACAGGCGCAGCGCCGCTCGCGGCGCGCGGCGAACCGAGAATGGCCGTCGCAGCGTCGACAATTGAGCCGCGGAAGAACGCGCTGCCCCGCGCGTGTCCCGGGGGCCCCAGCATGGAATATCGCGCTGCGGCGCCGCGCGCCCCCCCCGCTGCCCGCGCGCGAGCGCGCGCTTGCGCGGGCAATGCCGGGCAATATTGCGCCGCGCTTTGCCGCGCCACCAAGGCGCAGCCGGAGTAGTTGTTTTTGCGGCAGCTAGTTTTCTCCGGCCTGTTCACGATGGCCATTATTTTGCCGCTGCGTCGCGCGCGCGCGGAAGCGCGCTCGCGCGCGGGCGCCCCGCCGCAATGCATTATTATTTTCTTCTGAGGCCGTCGGCTCGCGGGCGACGCAATTTTCGCACGACGCGTTGTCGCGGAAGGTAGTTTTGCATTTTGTTTGGCAAGTTCTTGCGCCGCGCTCACGCGAGCCGCGCGAGCAAGAGCGCGCGCGCGGGCAATGGGGGCAATGGGGGCAGCGCGCCGCGTCGCAATGCATGCGTCCACGCTGGGGCCTCTCAGAACACGAGTGAAACAATTGGCTTCCGCCATTCTTCGCGCGGCGTTGACGTCGCTGGTCTCTGCGCCGCTCGCGCGCGAGCACCTCCGCGCGTTGTCGCGACGCGTTGTTTCACGTTGGTGCTCTTCGGCAATGCGACGGGGCCAGTTGGTTGTCATCGTTGATCGGTCTGCGAAACTGAGATGGCCGTTCTGTTCTCGAAGCGCCCTGGCAGCGCGCGCGCGAGGGCAGCGGAGGCAGCGCCGCGATTCGTTGACGCCGGGGCCTTCGGATCACGAGTGGAACAGATGATTCCCGCCGTTCGGTTGTTGAGGCTCGGGCAGCCAATTCTTCTCGCGCTTGCATTGCGCGCGCGGGGGGTCGAGCGCGCGCGCGGGCAATGCGGGGCGCGCGCGGCGTCGCAGTGCAGCGTTTCGCGTTGGGCCTTTTCGGGTACGGGGCGAGACAACGCGTCGCCGCCGTGCAATTTTCAACATTCCGATGGCCGTTGCTTGCGCTTGCTGAGCGCGCGCGAGAGGGCCCGCGCGCGCCTGCAATCGCGGCAGCGCGCGGCGCCATCATGGATGACGTCGCGTCGAGGCCTTCAGAACACGAGTGGAACAGCTGGTATTCATGGCCATTCCCCAGCGACGTTTGCCTTGCGCGCGCGAGAGAAATGAGCGGCGCACGGCGCGACGCAATG